TGGTTCAGTCTCCTGTCGACCCTAAGAAGATTGTGACTAAGCGCATTGTGGCCATGGAGGGCGATAGAGTCACTTTCTCATTGGACCCTATAACCACTGATAGCTATCAAACTCTGGTGGTATGTGCAGTTTCTTCTTCCCTTTCTATGCCGTTTCTAGGAGAATTGGATTTGCACTGATTTTTCATGAACTAAATGCAGTCTTATATTGCTGGAACTAGGATAACATTCTTGGAGAAATTAAGTTAAACTGATGTAGAGAAAGTAAGTGTTGTGATTGTGTCTGTTCGATTTCTAGAAGTGTGGAATGTATTGTAGCTTATAGTTTTATGGGAATTTCTGCGTTACAAACATATTTGGGGGAGTTTGAGGAAGTAGAAAACAGGGGTACGGGGGGAGGGAGAAGAAGACAAGAAGAATTTCACACAATCGTAGACAACTTACCTGCGGAGAAAATTCTTTAAGTATAGCTCAATACATTATGAAAGAAATTATAAATAATTTCTTGGTTCTAATGGAATAGGAATCTATTTGGAGTTAGAAATTCTTATAAATAACATAAACAGTAAATGAAATGCTCATTCTACTAAAATCTGAATGAGATACAATATCTACTCTATTTAGAAACTCTAAATAACTAAAACTTTTTTTTTCATCGTACTCCCCTAGTTGGAAAGAACTCGGCCTTGAGTTTTGAAGTGTTGAAGGATAAGAAAAACATCCAAGAAGAATTTCACAACTTCATGATTTGCCATCCACATAAAAACGAAAACAAGAACGTATTATATTTAAAAAATAAAAATGTAAACAAGAGAGACACACAACTGGAAGAGCGTGCCCTGTAGACAAGACAAAATCAACAATTGAAAAGTTTGTTTCATATGTTCATCCATGCATTGAATATCTATAGGCTAATCTTTGGGTGAAATATCTTTAGCAATCTCAGAGATTTTTTGCCATCAGCTTCTTTTGGTAGTTTCCCCTTTTTTTTTGCAGCTGTTCTTCAATCTGGAGCTTCTACCTTTGTGCTAATATCTTGCAAGTTATCACGGGGTTTAAGTACTGTTGCTTGTGCAATTGAAAGGTTTTCGGCAAACCTTAGCTGTGTTCCTAGCACCTTGAAACTTATCCCTCAGTCTTTGGGAACATCAATATCCCTCACTTAACCTTTAGAAAGCACTTAAAAACTTATCCCCTAATATAGCATCTTCATGGCTACTGCCTTAGTAGTAAAAGAATGTTGACTTTTCAGAAGAGTATCAAATTTTGCTTTGGGTTCAACTTTAGTTATCATTTTTGAATGACTAGCATGTGTACCTGCACAAGGATGACATGCAAAATTCAAGAAATGGTGGCAGTAGATTGGTGATTGGTGATTGATGTTTTTTGTTGTGGCCGATACGGCACAAGCTCGATAAGACCACACCATTGCTGGAATTTCACAATTATTGGTTATTTCTAGCACTGATTACTGTTGGAGGTTTGGGTACGAGAAATTGGATAAGTTAGGAACTTCAGTAGACAGAGAGGAATAATATGCCTATTTGGAATATACGTAAATTGAGTGACTAGGCCATCATACGTACTGCTGCTTAGCGTTAAGTTTGATTGCACCACACAATCATACAGAACAAGTCTGAATATAGCTTTATTCATCGTGAAAGAAATTCTAAAATATTTATTGGTCTGATATTATCCCAATATAATTAGAATTAGGAAATCTAATAGGAACTTGCACATAAAATAAATCCTAATGCTACTAAATTGCTAATCATCATCTCATCAATACCCTTACTCTCTAGTACCTCTGATTTCTTTAAACTCAGTAAAAGAGGCATCACCAACAAATCAGCTTAAAGTTAGGTTGGTTGTTGCTTGCTGTTAGTAATTGAGTAAGGAGTTCTCTTGGAACTTGGCATTTATTGCATTACTCCTTTGTATTCTCTTCTGATTAAGTATTTTTTAGCCTCAATTTCCTTTGCCAGCTTTGTGTTATTGATGTTGTATTTCTGCCCTTGTATCATTTTTCTTATCTGTTATATCTTCACGATTCAAACTGAATAATTATTTGGTTTTCATTTGTTACGATGAATGGATAGGTTCCAAAAGGGCATGTTTGGATCCAGGGTGATAACATGTACGCTTCCACCGATTCACGATATTTTGGCCCTGTTCCTTATGGTCTTATTCAAGGAAGAGCATTTCTAAGGGTAACAGTTTTTAGTTTTGCTTCTCTTTTGTTGGTTTCTTTGAGTTGTTATTCTCTTCCACAATTAGTCAGATCAGTATTTCTGGTTTCCACTGTCCTATTAGCAGTTATGAACTTCCCTTGCCATAATTGATCATTATGGAAATATTTAAAATTTGGCAGCATCCCTTGTTATGACTTATTCTGAAAAAAACTTCCAAGTTTTTCAACAACCAAGAAAGCCTTAAAATTCATTTACATAGCTAGTATGTAAGAAAAACTATCATATGTAAGCACTTGTCTTTTGACTCTCACGCTTGTCTTTATCTTCTCATACTGCCTATTTCGCAATTTTTCCATTTTTCATCCTAATGGATTTCAAATTCATTCAGCGAATTCATACACTTCTTGAAGAATTATTAAGAATGTTTTTCGGCTCCTTGTGTGTGGGTATTTTCTTCTCCTACATGTCCCAACCTTTTTTTCCCCCTTTTATGGGTATGCATACCATTGAAATCCTGATGGTTCTATAAGGACACTTGTCATTATTCACATAACAATTGATCGTTAACATTAATATAACGTAACAACATATCATAAAAGCTTAATTCTACATCAATCTATCATTTGCTCTCATTGTGTGTTATGCATGCAATGGTTTTACTTAAAATTGAGATTCTAATAATAGATTCATGATTTAAAAAAGAAAGTATTAGTGATTGTTCCTGAAAAAATGAAACAAAAGAAACATTACTGCTTATTTATTTTAGTTGTTTTGAAAAAAAAAAAAGGGTCTTATGTTCCTTGTGTTATCTTTTAGGTTTGGCCACCTCACGGCTTTGGATCCTTGGCACACTGGGTATAATATGAATCATAGTTGGAGGAACATTGGTGTTCAAAACTTCTTTTGACAGTTTTGATATTATCTAAGATTGTAATTATGTTTAATCGAGTGATTTTGTAGCCTCCTTTTGAAGCTGATACTGAATTATTTGAGTGTCAATTGGCAAAAAGAAACAAATGAAGATGGTCACTGTAGATTACTTTGTTGCTGATACTCTCTCAGTTCTTTTTGGTTTGAATTTGAGAAAAGCTAATAAGGAAATCAAAACAATAAAAATGCATAATTGAAGGAAATTAGAAAACAATTAAAATGCAGAAATTGTGCCATGAGAGAAGTTGAATCTTTCCCAAGTACCTTCCTCTAGTCTCAAGTTTGACCATGGAACTTTCATTTTCAGCTGACCCAGTTGTTCGTTGTTGGGAGTTGAGGATTGAATGTTGGGAGTTGACGGTTGGTACTTTTAATGCTCTCTAGCTATTTTCAAAAATAGATAATAGTAGTTATGGATAATATGAAAGTTTTTTTTTTTCTTTTTTTTTTTTTTTTATAAATAAAATAAAAAGATTATATATTTTATTAACTAAATAATATATAACATTAACAATAACATATTTCTAAATATACTATAGACAATTTAATTATTAGTATATATAAAATGCACAACTTATAACACAGAAAAATGGATAAAAGTATAAATTATGAATCTAATGAATAATTGGTCTAAACCTTTAATACAACTAAAGTTTCAATTCAAAAAAAAGTTTCAATTATACATTTTCCACAACTTAAGTTTTAATCTTACCATTTATAAGGTTAAAGTTTCACTAATACCAACTTAAAGTTTATATTGTTGGTAATGATTCTTGAGCAATTTTCTTGCTGCATTTTGCCTTTCTTCCATGAAAACCTCCAAGTTGGGCAATATGTCCAGTTGGTGTGGTTGAGAAAGTTCTTTCATTCTTAGATTAAGAAGATGGTGTGGGTCATCTTCGTCTTAAGAGCAGTGCCAAACAACTTGTGAAGTTCCCTTACAAAATAAGTTAGTAAAATTTGTTTTAATAAGAGACAAAGCCTTATGTATGTCTGTGTGATTAAACCCGAAATCATATTCAGTCTAAATAATTTTGTAATTATAGTTCTGGTTTCTACCATCGATGACTCAATAATTTTTCGAGTTTAAACTATTAATTTTTAAATGTTCAAGTCTAAATTATTAGTAATATGCGATTTGAAACTTTTTATATAAATTAACAATCATATTTTTTATGATAAAAAATAATTATGTTGATCGACAATTGATACTAACCTAATTTTTTAGCGGGAGAGATTCTAATATATTTATTTCGTAATATATCACATACAAACATGTAAGATTTTCACTCCTTACATATAATAGCATAGAT